TAAGATCACCTCTCCTTCTTTGTAGTTAAGAAATCACTGGAAGGAGATTCCATTACCAGCATTCACTCATCTACTCGCTCTCAAACAATGAGCCCTGTACAGTTAGCTTCACATGGACATCTTCATTACTTGATCAATGTGCATCATGGCCTTCATGAGAAGGTTCATTTATTTAATACCACTCAGGAGGTTTCATTCTGACAGGTCTCCAATTTTTGGGTAATTTTTACACTGGATTTAGAGGTTTATTATCTCATAGTTTTATTTCTAAAGTCTCCAAAGGGAGTAATTTGATCATACTTAAAGGATTTAGAGTTGAGGCTTCTTAATTAACTATGTAACCCATGTGTACAGCCAATCCATTGACATAGCTTTAAGGCTTAAGCATTTTCTTTGGCAGTATGAGGTTAAAGGGACCGTTCATCCAAAAATAAAAATGCTGTCATCATTTACTCACCCTTGTGTTATTTCAAACCTGTATGACTTTCTTAATTTTGTGGAACATAAAAGAATGTAGTGATGATGCCAGAATTTTAATTTTTTGGAGAACTATTTCTTCAAGGTTTTGGTTGATAATGAAAATGTCTTGCCATCCATCCCAGTTGGCACTGGTTCGTATCCGGCTAGGAGTGGTGCAAATAGTACAGATAACACTGGTGCTGTGGTGAGGTTTAGGGGAGTAAGAGTAAGCAAGCCCAGCTCAAAAGAGTTTTGCTGGTCAACCCCATTTTCCTGCCCTCAAGAGGAAAACCATGCTAGCAACTTATGCTAGAGACTGTGATCTTTAGAGTCCTTGTTGGTGCATCCACCTCAAATGACAGTAGTCCAAATCCTGCGCGGGCAGTGCGAGTACGACACATATTGGTGCCGTGACCCAGGTGGTATACCGAGTTTAAGGGGGGTGAGTGTAACGGAGATGGGTTGGTAAAATCTGTGTACTCTCCTGCCACCATTATCTACACACCATTAGATGTGTAGTTCACACACACATCTCCCCTGCCAGTTGATGGTGATTCAAATCCCACTCGGGGATGTGCAAGTAGGACGAGTTACATTGGTGCTTTGACCTAGATGATAGTAAGGCTCTCAGTGTAACTGAGGCCAGCTAGTAAGAGCTGTACAGGTAAACCTCACTCTCCTGCCCTCAGCAGGCACAATAGTGACAGACATTAGAGGCAACATCCTGGTTAGGGTGCCCACCTGCCATACTGGTGTGAGCAGTGTGTGTGTGGGACCAGTGACATCGGGAGGTGAGTGAAACGCAGGCCAGCTAGTTTGAGTTGTCAAGTAAATCTCACTCTCCTGCCCTCAGGAGGTGCATTGACGTTATTGGTTGTGGTCTTTAGCATCCTTGTAAGCACATATACCTGCCATGCTAGTTAACAGTGGTCCAAATGCTGATTGGATTGGTGTGAGTAGGACCAGTTACATTGGTGCCATGACCCTGATTATAGTACGTTTTTTTCTTAAATGTATAATAGAGGCCAGCTAGTAAGAGCTGTGAGGTAATCCTCACTCCGCTGTCCTCAATAGGTGCACTGACACTAGAGTCTATCATCTTTAGCATTATTGTTAGCTTAACCACCTGCCATGCTAGTTGACAGTGGTTGGAATCCCGCTTGGAGTCATCCCGCTTGGTGCTGTGACCTGGTCTGTAGTGAGGTTTGGAGCGTACTGTGGGACTAGAGACTGTGGGTTTTAGCATCCTTGTTAGCACATCCACATGCCATGCCAGTTGTTCAAAGGCTGCTTGGATTGGCGTGAGTAGGACCAGTTACATTGGTGCCATGACCCGGATACTAGTGAGGTTTAGGGGGGCTATTATAGAGGCCAGCTAGTAAGAGCTGTGAGGTAATCCTCACTCCGCTGTCCTCAATAGGTGCACTGACACTAGAGTCTATTATCTTTAGCATTATTGTTAGCTTAACCACCTGCCATGCTAGTTGACAGTGGTTAGAATCCCACTTGGAGTCATGCGAGTAGGACTAGTTATGTTGGTGTCATGACCTGGTCAGTAGTGAGGTTTGGAGCGTACTGTGGGACTAGAGACTGTGGGTTTTAGCATCTTTGTTAGCACATCCACATACCATGCCAGTTGTTCAAAGGCTGCTTAGATTGGCGTGAGTAGGACCAGTTACATTGGTGCCATGACCCGGATACTAGTGAGGATTGGGGGGGCTATTATTGAGGACAGCTAGTAAGAGCTGTGAGGTAATCCTCACTCCCCTGTCCTCAATAGGTGCACTGACACTAGAGTCTATCATCTTTAGCATTATTGTTAGCTTGACCACCTGCCATGGTAGTTGACAGTGGTTGGAATCCCGCTTGGAGTCATGCGAGTAGGACTAGTTATGTTGGTGTCGTGACCTGGTCAGTAGTGAGGTTTGGAGGGTAATGTGAGACTAGAGACTGTGGGTTTTAGCATCCTTGTTAGCACATCCACCTGCCATGCCAGTTGTTCAAAGGCTGCTTGAATTGGCGTGAATAGGACCAGTTACATTGGTGCCATGACCCGGATGCTAGTGTGTTTTGGGGGGGCTATTATAGAGGCCAGCTAGTAAGAGCTGTGAGGTAATCCTCACTCCCCTGTCCTCAATAGGTGCACTGACTCTTTAGAATCCTTGTTAACGCCCCTACCTGCCATGCCATACCAGGGGTAAGTATAATTGAGGCCAACTAGTAAGTGCTGGTAAAGTAATCCTAACTCCCCTGACCTCAAGAGACACACTGATACTAGAGACTGTGGTTTTTAGCATCCTTGTTAGCACATCCACCTGCTTTGCTGGTCAATGTTGGATCGAATCCCTCTCATCAGGGCACATGTAGAACGTGACCCAGACGGGAGTGTGGTTTAGAGGCGTAACCAGTAGGAACTTAACTCTCCTGGCCTCAGAAGCGCACTAACAAACTAATGTAGGAGGCTGCAGGCTTTTGCATCCTTTGTTAGGATGCCTCCTATGCCGGTTGATCTGGTTCAAATCCACTTGGAGTGGTTCAAGTAGGACCAGTTACACTGGAAATTGTGGTTGTTACAAGACAACTGAAATTAAAAACGCAAAATACATGTCGTTTTGGAAATGGCAATATATTTTTTAGACCTTTCTATTGTTTAAAGTATGTTAGAGGAGCATGACAATACCAAAGTGCCATTAGGTTTTACAAACAGGTTTTGGCACATGCTTGCCTGTTTTCCTAAATAGTTTGACGCTATTCCAATACCCTGCCCAATCCGTCACATTTCAGGGTAACACACCACTCCACCACACAACCAACAATGCTTTACTAAAAATAAATCCCAAGCAAATTGTGCTCTTTTTCACATGTGAGAATGTGTGAGAGGATCCACTAATCAAGTCACAAAGCAGCCTGAATACAAGTGTGTAGGAAACACAAGGCAGGCCGCATAAAAGCCCTTTGTACGATGCCCTGTTTCTCTTCTTCTCTCCGAGTGTATCATAGCTGACATTTCCACTCTCATTAGAGAGATTCCATGAATGGGAACTCAAGGATGGTGTGGGTGAATGACAGGTGAGGATGGCTGCTCCTCGCATGGTTTAATTCACAAGAACTCACAGCCAAATTCTTCTCTAATGGATCTAAAAGTTCTGCTTGGGTTTGAGCCGACCCAGCTTGACAAGGCTAAAAACTTTTTCTTAGTCATGACTCTTGGTTCAGACTGGGTCGACTCAACCTGAAGCAGAACAGGTCCATTCGAAAAAATAGTGGCTATGAGTTCTTGTAAGACAAACAAGCTTGAAAGTTTTGGACCTCACATTTATATGGTAGTCAATGGTAGTTGCTTGGCTGGCACATGACTCATGATTCATATGTTGCTTGAAAAAAAAAAATATTTAGCTAATTTTGATTGCCTCCAGGCTAACTGCTAACTGGCCGTGCTAACCAGTCAAAAATAGTCAAGGTGAACTGAGACTAAAGTGCCTTTTTTTGTCTTTAATTTGAAGACATTTGCCAAGGCCTGGTGTACTTTCAAACGTACGGAAGCCGGTATTATGGATGATCCATTTTATGACTTACCCGAACATTACAGCTGCTGTTGTTCTTGGCACAGAGTCAATCAAATGATCAAATCAATGCCCAGGACCAAAAAAGAAACAACTTTTCCCAGTATATTTACTGTTGTTCCAAGAATATAATCCCAAGAGATTTTGTTTGTATTGAATGGGATGAGATTTTCAGATGCTGAATGTGGTTGTGTGGCCATATGCTCACTGAATCACTCCCATGACTCTCTTTGAGATCTTGGCTTGATCACACTGAAGTCAGCCTTTATGTTTCCAAAATGTGTGCCTTTTCTCCCTCTGCATTTACAAAAACAGCTTCGACTCCAACTGGGAAATTAAACAGAAACATTCCTGTCCTAGTGGACATTTAAGTTATGACCAGAATGCAGTGTGACCTTTCTCAAGGTGCTTAAATGACAGAGTAGATATATATATATTTGACTTACATTCATTGTTAGGTCTGTACAACCTGAAAACACAACACTATCTCACGACCAATTCGTACGAATTCGACGCATGATTAAAAAGTGTCTAATTCGTACTAATTCGTACGACTTCACTCGTACTAATTCGTACGATTTGTCTAAACCCACGTGATGGTTAGGTTTAGGGGCGGGGTAAGGGGTAGGTCATTCGTACGAATTCATACGAATTGGCCAATTCGTAAAATATGTACGATTTAGCAAAATCGTATTAATTCGTACGAGTGAGGTCGTATGAATTGTTACGAATTAGCCACTTTTTAATCATTCGTCGAATTTGTACGACTTGGTCGTGAGATAGGGTTGGAAAACATGATAACATCACAATTCTTTCTTTCTTTGAAAACATTTTCATTTATTTATTTTTTGTTACAGCTGTAAACTGATACCCCAAGTCACCCAAACATATAAAATCATCTCAAAAGCACATGAAAAATAAAAAAATAAAAAAATCATATTTTGCTTTACCCCTTGTTTTGTAGTTTCTCTCCGCCTCTTTTTTAAGGGCCACAAGCAGAGTTTTGGATGACTTGACGCTGTTGTCCATTCGGAGTTCAAATTACTGGATCAGAGTCCAGACATCCTCCATTCATCCAGTTTGTATGGCCACGCCAGAAGGCAAGTAGTCCTCTGCTGTCCAGATATCATCTCCCGACTACAAAGATTCCTGTGACATGCTACTCTCCGAGTGACCGATACAACCGTCTCCAGGGAGGACGACACAATGCTAATATTGAGAGAATGATACCTTGACCTACCAACACAGGTATCACCACACCATTTATATAATAACCATCAATGTCCTGTCTTTTAGAAATTTTATTTCATGGGTTGACAAAAAACAAACAATCAAAACTGTCCGTGTCCAGCACCAGAACCTAAAAGAGACATTGATTACTGTCAAAGGCGAACGCGTTACTGTCTCCAAACAACACATCAAATCTCGGCTGGCAGCGACATGCCTCCGTCTTTACAGTTTGCTGCTATGAGAGTTTTCATAGCACGAACAATTCCTCAGTCAAGAGCGGACAGTCATCTTGTGTGGGCTCTTATGAAGTCTGCACTGTTCACGTCGTCCTACCCCATGGCGTCCATAAGAATAAAGAATATGCCCAGTCATCACGCCAATGAAAGGATGCATGAATCAGTTGATAGCGGCCGTTCAGATGGCACTGTCGCCCGTTTTAAGGAGCCAGTGCTCCGAGATGATGTGTCCGTTTGTCCTGCAATCAACAAGATGATCATATGATCGGTTATTCTTCAGTCAATCAACAGTGTTTCTCTCATGATTTTGTCTTTCAGCCATATACAGTATATCATGTGAAACTGAAGACTGGAGTTGATGCTAAAAATTCATCTTTGATCACAGGAATAAATTACATTTTACAATATATTCACATAAAACACACAGCTATTTTAAATCACAATACTATTTCACAATTTTACTGTATTGTTGATCAAATAAATGTAGCCTTGGCAGAGCATAAAATGCTTCTTTTAATAATATCCTATTTACATTTCAATATACTTCAATATGTTCTTATTAAACGGTCTGTACATTGCAAAGTTCTCAATGCTTCGGTTTGCATGTAGGGACCCTCATTATGCTATAGTGTTAGTGTTGGGCTATTTTGAGCCTTGTTAGTGGTATTAACTAGCAATTTTTATGTTTCATTACTATATGCCCTATATAACAGTTTTTAGAGATAAAACTCTTTACATTCGATTATCGTGAAAACACATCTCAGAGAACGTTCGACTAGGTGCCAATGTTTTATTAGACCAAAGGTTCATTTTGCGCCGGAGTTGTCCTTTAACCCTCAGGTGCTCTTCGTTTTGGAGTCACACTTGTTATCTTCCCGGTCAAAATTGACCGGACACCTACAAATTTAATTTCCTCCATCCCAGTAAAACCAATGCAATTTATTTTTGTTCTATAATATTAATTGTTTATAATTTAGTATTTTGAGACAATTTGATTGAATTTATTAATATTTATGCAATATTTATTGTCTATTTTGCCATGAAAAAATATATTTTTATAATATATATATATATATATTATTTTTTCTAAAAAAATATTAAATGCAGTATTTTAGTTTAATATAGAGTCTAGGCCTTCAGAAAAAAAAAAAAAAGATTTCTTTGAAGAAAATTAGCACCATCTGGTTACAGTATAGAGAAAAGGCGTAGAATCATGGTGTAACCACTTGATGGCATGTACAGCTCTCTATGGAGAAGCATGTGAATTCCCCAGATGAAATAAACACATTTTTTTTTTTGGTGGATTTGAATATATAGTTGAAACAATCTCAAAAACGATTTTTAATTTAAAAAATGTAAAAAAATAAATAAATAAATAATTTTTTTTTGAATTTTTGTGTTTGTCAATTTCCCATTCATGACCAAAGACCACAAGTGTGACTATTTTTTTTAAGACCACTTAGCATGCTCAGATTATGACCTCAATTTTTGTGTGTGTTCACATTCATAATGTGTTAAAAGTCACCAAGTTTCGTAACATTCAGATGAAGCTGTGATTTTTAAAAATTCTAAACATAATTTTTGTAATCAAAATTTATTGGTGTGTATGTGTATAAAAGTGTGTTTGTATGTGTGTGTGGGTTTGTCTGTTATGCACTCTAGATGTTGTAGAGTGTCACCCCTTTCCTGCGGTGTACTTTTTTTTTTTTTTAGAATTGTGGCCGATTTGTAGATTGCACGTACAAAAATTCAGATAATTTTTTTTGTCAATTTCCCATTCATTTCCTATAGGTCGGTTATTTTTGACCGAAGACCACAAGTGTGACTATTTTTTTTTTTTTTACGACCACTTAGCATGCTCGGATCATGACCTCAATTTTTTTGTGTGTTCACATACATAATGCCATAAAAGTCACCAAGTTTCATAACATTCCGATGAAGCCGTGATTTTTAGAAATTCAAAACAGAATTTTTTTCGGTCAGAAATGACCGAAGAGCACCTGAGGGTTAAATCATTTGAAAATTGCTTTAATACAGTTTACAATTTCATTTAATTACTTTTATGATATAACACTTAATATTTTCCTTAAAATGATTTTTCTACATAGACATATAAATTTAATTAACATGCATAGAGCTTTTGTTGCTGTTCCCAAAACTGTAATGTGGTGTGATAGCAATCATAACCTGCAGAATAAACCACTATTAATGATGTATAAGTAGCCTATTATAATATAATACATGTTGAAGTTCCCCTCAACACGCACCTCATTCTTCTCAAAAACACATGCAAGTGCTTCATAAATCCAGGAAAAACATGAATGAATCATTAGTTAGAAACAGTTGCTGCTATTTTTCACATTGAAATACAATAGACTCAAAGTTCAGGAATCAAAGGTTCCTCAAAAATCAGTTTTGGATCAAAATAGCCCCTAAGAAGTGAGCCTCCAGAGCCTCTATCTATCAAACCGTTAGCAGGGGAGATAATTTAACTTGTTGACGCTTAACAAAATGAAAGTGTTTCAAGGGATCCTTCAAACTCTCCCTGCTGTTTCACACTGACAGAGACGAGACGAGCAGTCGGGTCAATCCCCTTCCCCCATCGCAGGCCGAAGCTTGGGGACTCGAGGCATCTATCAGTTCCCCTTCTCATTTGTATAATGTCGGGTCACGGATGAAATCGAGTCTTACGTAGGGGATTGAAGTTTTAATTCAGGCGCTGCGCTTTGGGGCTTCGGCTCGGCCTTTTCCGCCCACTCAACGCCCAATCAATTGATGGAGAACGAGACTCCCAGTCTCCTGAAGTCTGCCCATCACACCGGATGACAATGTGTAACACCAACTTGCAGCTGTTGTTTGCTTGTGTTTAAATATGGATGCTATACCTGTGAAACGCTCTATTAAAAATCCCAGATGTATGCTAAGTGCGATTACCAGCACGAATATCATTTGCATAACTGTCCGTCATCCACACAACACGTTTCTGTGGTATCTGTGGCCCGAGGCTACGGGATCAGATGTTTTTCGAACATTTCACAGTTGCACTGCGCATCTGTCAGGTGTACTAGCGCGCTAACTATCCCCCACTCGCGCCTCGGGTGACTGACGTTAAATGAAGTCAGCGACTGTGAGCCGTGCCTGAGGGATACGGTGGAATAACAGCGACATACGGACAACATAAAGCCGTCCTGATGGGTGGCCCGTGGCGGACGTGCTAAAACACTCTTCTCTGAGCTGTGACTTCATAAGTGATGGTGCACTCGAAGGTGTTACAGACATATTGCCATCTTCCGAGAAAAATGTACACAGTGTTACGTCCCAGAAGTAAAGTTGTCTAGGTGTAAGGAGTAAACAGTGAAAAGGAAAAGAAAATAAACATGCCTATTCCCGTTCCCAGCCCTGTACGACAGACACATCAAATTTTAGTCCAAAAATTTATTAACAGGATGGGTATAATTATTAAACAAGATAAACAAAACATAACCACTTAAATTACCTCAGGAGGGGGTTAAATGCCAAAATAACAAACACAAGTACCCTCTGACTAGTCGAGGAGTAAAACTTCTTAATCTGCCAAAAATAAACAAATGAACAACAGAAAGATACACTAACTCCCTAACTAGCCAAAAAAACAGGAGAAAAAGTGATACAAAAATGAAAATAGGCCCCCACCTCCCTACAGCTCCGTGACCGTGTGGTTTTCAAACAAAAAGATAATCACAACCATAAACACAAAACAAAAAGAAAATAGTAGCAGGCTACAACAAGCCTTAGCTGGGTGAGCAACTACAACAATCTTAACACTGCACAACAGCAGGTAAATCAACAATCTCAGTAGACAGCACTCTGGAAGGCAAAACTTCTCCTTCTTTCTCCCCCACCCGTTTGAATGTTCTCTGGAACTTCTTTTGAGCAGGTAGCGTCTCCCGTGCAACAAGCGGCAGGTGTGATCAATCAGCTCTCTCTCCTCCCCACTTGGTAGAGCTGCAGAATTACAGAGAGAGAGAGAGAGAGAGAGGAGGGGGAAAAAAACACAGATCCCCAACACTGCCAAAACAACCACGGAACGTAACACCCCCACCCATAAGTTTTCAGACATCAACCCATGTCTTGAAAATAAATCACAAATAAATATTCCTTTTTTTTCACTCCACAGAATATACTCTTGACAGGGCATCAGCTACAATATTTTCAGAGCCTTTACAATACTGGATATTCAAGTTGTATTCTTGAATAATCAGTGACCACCTCATCAGGCGCTGATTTGAATTTCGCATCCGATCCAAAAATACAAGGGGGTTATGATCGGTATAAACAGTGACGGAATGATTACCACCAAGATAAATTTCGAAATGCTGTAAAGCTAATACCAGAGCCAAGGCTTCCTTCTCAATAGTACTGTCAGCTAACAGGGAACGTTCCCAGAACATTCACTAACGTTCTTTAAAAGTTGTGTAAATGTTAGGACAAAACGTTATTAAAATAATGTTTTCGGAACGTTCATATAACGTTATTAACCTTCTTGTAACGTTGAGAGAAAACGTTCTTAGAACAACGTTCTTGGAACGTCTTTATCACGTTATTTGTATTTGATGAACGTTCTCATTACGTTGATAAAAAACGTTCTTAGAACAACGTTATCGGAACGTCTTTATCAAGTTATTTGTGTTTGATAAACGTTCTCATAACGTTCCAGCAACATTATGCTAACCTTAGGATAACGTTCTAACAACATTATGCTAATGTTCCAGCAACGTTCTGCAAACATTAAGACACCGTTCCAGCAACGTTAAGCAAACTGGACATTTCCACGTTTTTAGAACATTTTAAATTAACGTTCCCACAACCAAAATGGAACGTTAAAAAAACGTTCTCAGAACCTAACTTTGTTAACTTTGTTTTTTAACCTTTCTCTAAAAAGTTGACCAACACTCAGCAACGGCCGTTGCTGAGTGTTGGTGAACTTTTTAGAGAAATAACTCACTGGATGCTCAATGCCATAAACGTCCTCCTGCAATAACACTGCTCCAGCACCTGAATAACTGGCATCTACCTGCAGCTTAAATGGGAGAGTGAAACAGGGAGCAGAAAGTACAGGAGCACTACTTAATAAATCTTTAGCAGCATTAAAAGCAGACTCACAACATAAAGCCGTCCTGATGGGTGGCCCGTGGCGGACGTGCTAAAACACTCTTCTCTGAGCTGTGACTTCATAAGTGATGGTGCACTCGAAGGTGTTACAGACATATTGCCATCTTCCGAGAAAAATGTACACAGTAAAAAAGCTGCCTTAAAGTAAGTCCAGTTAAACACTGAAATAGAATGGATACACAATACCACCTGTGCTTTCTCGCTCTCTCGTGATTTCTACGACACACAAAACCCGCCTCCATATACTCACTCGTTTCATTTGGTCTGATGAATATTTTTGGTGTTACATGAATTTCAGTATATATTGCACATCATTTTACTCATTCCTGCTCAGTCACACTCAAAGTGAACGCATACATAAAGCCTCTCAGTACTATATTGAGTTATTTTCCGTTGCTTATAGCGCCTTAACGGTCAAATACATACAAAGTAATGTCAAACCTTGAGGCGGATGGGCTACAACAGGAGAAGACCCCACCGGTACCACTCATCTCCACTACAAATAGGAAAAAGATAGGGATGCACCGAAATGAAAATTCTTGGCTGAAACCGAAAACCGAAAAAGAGGAAACCAAGGCCGAAAACCGAAACACCGAAAGAAATTATGCCAATTATTAGTATCATTGCATTTATGGCTATGACTGTGCAAACTTTACTAAAATCAAGGCATTGCAATTGCATAAATTAATATAACATTTTCAAAGAATAAATCAATTACAAATTATGCAAATATATATTATATATATGCACAGTGCACAGTATAAAATAAAATTCAAACTAAAATGTTTAACTTGACCCCACTCATGTGTGCACTAAATAATAATCTACTGGCCTGCAGAAAGGTTTTAAAATGAAATTTTCTCTCAAAAACAAAGCCAACCGCAAACTTCTCATCACTAGCACACAGTTTGCAGGTCTAAATTAGTTACATTTTAAAAAATGTAGCATACAATAGCATAAAAAGCCTTTTTAAATGAACAATGGTCCATGTTTAATACAAATGTACATGAAAGTTAATGAAACATTTTTAGTGAATGTAGAAAATATTTAAGAGAGCATTAATTTAGTTCTATACATGTTCCCATATACATATTTTTTTTTGTAATGTCACAAGTAATAATCTCAGGGTTTACTGGGTTTTACTTTACATGATTATTTTTGTATTGGTGGTGGAATAATAAAAAATAAACATTGTCATGTATTTATCTGTCTTCTTCTCGCCGATTCCTGATGGTTAGAGGACAGTTGCTTGAGTCGTCCCCTGTCGTTTCAAGGAATAGTAACAGTTACAACGGAGAGCGCGTCAAGTATAAACGCCTCGACCGTTTGGAGCGGTGCACGCGCTGTTTGTGGAGACTCGCGCTGCCTTGTTTACTTTCGCCTGCCTCCTCAGCGCGAGTCTAATTTATAATTTTTAATTGTTTCCTGCTCCAAACAATGCGTGCCGCCATGACGACGACTCCGGTTCCGAGCGGGTCAAGAGCGGTGCGCGCGCTGTCTGTGGAGACTCGCGCTGCCTTGTTTATGCTTTCGCCTGCCTCCGCAGCGCGAGTCTCCACAGACAGTGCGCGCACCGCTCTTGACCCGCTCGGAACCGGAGTGGTCGTCATGGCGGCACGCATTGTTTATAGGTGGATAAACAAGGTTTCCGTCTCATCGCGGGTTCAGATACACTGAAATACGTCCACACCGCAGACATGTTGCTTCAGACAAACACGTGCAGGTCGCGGTTTCTGTTTGCGTCATCACAACATTTCGGCCGTATTATTTCGGTGATAAAAGTCTTTCGGCCGAAAACCGAAAATGCACTTTTGGGCCATTTTCGGCCGAAAATTTTCGGCGGCCGAATATTCGGTGCATCTCTAGAAAAAGAGGCGACAATTTGCAAGAGCTCACCAAAATTGGACAGTTGAAGACTGGAGAAATGTTGCCTGGTCTGATGAGTCTCGATTTCTGTTGAGACATTCAGATGGTAGAGTCAGAATTTGGTGTAAACAGACTGAGAACATGGATCCATCATGCCTTGTTCCCACTGTGCAGGCTGGTGGTGGTGGTGTAATGGTGTGGGGGATGTTTTCTTGGCACACTTTAGTGCCAATTGGGCATCGTTTAAATGCCACGGCCTACCTGAGCATTGTTTCTGACCATGTCCATCCCTTTATGGCCACCATGTCCCCATCCTCTGATGGCTATTTCCAGCAGGATAATGCACCATGTCACAAAGGTCGAATCATTTCAAATTGGTTTCTTCACATGACAATGAGTTCACTGTACTAAAATGGCCGCCACAGTCACCAGATCTCAACCCAATAGAGCATCTTTGGGATGTGGTGGAACGGGAGCTTCGCATCCCACAAATCTACATCAACTGCAAGATGCTATCCTATCAATATGGGCCAACATTTCTAAAGAATGCTTTCAGCACCTTGTTGAATCAATGCCTTGATAATTAAGGCAGTTCTGAAGGCGGAAGGGGGTCAAACACAGTTTTAGTATGGTGTTCCTAATAATCCTTTAGGTGAGTGTATATGACATTTTCCCCCATGATATCGATGTCAAAACTATGGCCAGTGAAAACACTGATTGGCTTGTAACTTTGGAAAACCTCTAGCCACAGTGGCTCGTGAGCGAAAAAGTTAAACGTACAGTATGTCATTTTTGGCCACCAGGGGTCACTCATTTAAAATAATAACAAAAGACGTACTTTGATGACGTTGGGAAAGTCTGTTAAGAGTGAGTGCTCGTGAGCGGGAGACACATAACCTGATTTATACGAGATTGAACTGGCCATGTGACAGAGCAGGCATAAGATGGACACGAGCGCGAGTTTGCGGGCGAATTTAATAACGCAGAGCATTGTTAACCAATTGATCCATATATAAGGCGCTCCGGATAATGAGGCGCACTGTCGTTTTTTGAGAAGATTAAAGGTTTTTAAGTGCGCCTTATAGTGCGGAAAATACGTACTACTTTTTTTTTTCCGTCGTCTTCTTTGCTTTCATTGGCGGTAGTCCAGTGTTCCCCTTTGTGTTTGACCGTTTCGCCGAGTTCCACAGGAAGTTAGAGAAAATAGAGGAGTCAAAGGTTATGTGACGCCATAGACGGGCGACGAAACGGAAATAAAGAAACGTCCCTTGTCTTCGAATTAAACTATAAATTTCTCTGTATTTGAAAGTTGGTGGAAACTGTCGGGATAATGTACACATCTAATAGAAATATATAACATAGATACAGTTATTTTTGCTATTTTTAAAGCAGAAAAAATACATATTGTGCCTTTAACGTCAAGCCCTGCAACCAGCATTTTAAAACGTTACAGGAACAACGTTCAAATGTTTAGGATGAATCCGAATGTCCTTTTAGCGCCACTCAGCGGACAATTCCTTTTTACAACAATCGTCGTAAGGATGTTGCCAGAATAACGTTCATCTGCTTTGGATAAAACTAAACGCACTTTTAGCGCCACCTACTGGACATTTCCAAACTGCCGCGATACACACTACAACCGCCACAATGAAACACTGTGAGAAACGTGTTGATCTGCTTCAGACCACTTTTAATTTCTAAAACGCCACAATACATACAATAAAAGTTACTTTACTTTTTGACTTCGAAAAGGCTTGATTTGGGAGATTTGGATTTTGGGAGGAGTGCAGTGAAGTGGCTTGGATGCCGTTCCCGGTATGCCATTCCTCAGCAGTGGTCCGAAGTGGCCAGGAACTGGAAGGCAGTGTGTGTTTTGTGTATTGTGTGTTGGGAGGGGTGTTTGGCTGGCTTGTAACTGTGTTTGACCCCTCGCCGGGCCATGGCTAATGCAAGTGTGGGCTAGTGAA